ATTTGTAAAAGTTTTTTTTTTTTTCAAAATTCTCATTTAAAAAAAAGTTGTTTGTTTCAGAGTTTCAAGTAGCACCTAACACAAAGTATATTGTTAAAGGAAAAGTCTTAATTGCCTGCACTGTACTTTTATGTAATATCACCCAAATAGTTTGCTGTAAAAAGTGTTGACAAGTTTTTCAACAGGGAAGATTTGCAAAATGTAATTTTTATGTCTAAATTGTTTAAACACCCAAAGTACCAGTTTGCTCTCATTTTATATTCTAGTGGTTTGCCCTGTCGGTGTTGGTAGGAGTGGTCTTGGTGGTTCCTTGATTGGGCTGTTGGTTACTGTTAGCTTGTTTGAGTTGGTAATCTCTTTATGTTATCTAATCTGGTAATGAAGCGTCCACAAGAAAACAACCAAGGTCACAGAGCACCAAAGAAATCCATAATCCAAAGTACTTTTAGCCATATTTTTGTTCTGTATTCAAATTTACAAAGTTTCACAATGCAATTAAGACAGATGAAGATTCCTGTCCATAAACCAATATGCTCACATAGATGCTGAAAATTGATGCTGACAAAATGTGTATCCCTCCCTACCCAAGAAACCAAGTTAGTATGGTTGAACAGTAGTCAGTGAGAAGAGTTCGATCTGTAACTATTTTAATTCTTTTTACTCTTTTTCAGTGAGTTATTAAATGATCTCACATTAGAGACATATCACCCTCATATATGTTTAGAATGTTTTGTTTCTGAAAAATGAAAATAATAATTTTTTACTATTTGCTGTTTTTAGTTTCTGTGATGTAGGAAGGGGAAGAATGTAAACATTTGCTACACTCCAAAAAACTCTTGCAAAACACTCTTACAGCCAAAATAACTTAAATGAGTTTCCCAAACTGTAATTTCAAATGCTGCATAGTCAGAGGTGGTATGCAGCCAGTTCTTACCTCTTCGGGCGAACTGGTAGCGGCAGCTGCTGGAGGCTCTGCCCACCCACCCCAATATAATGTGCAACGTTGTGCGCATGCAAGCACGTTCACATTTGCGAACTGGTAGCGAAGGTAAGTGAATCCCACCACTGTGCATAGTGTTTGACACTGAAACATCTTTAAAAATGAATCTGTTATATCAATAGAAGAGAATATATGTAGCTCAGGGTTGAACTGTGGAGTCCTTGGTGCTCTCTGAGCTTGGTTGTTTGCTTGCAGATGTTTCCTTACTAGACTAGGTAACATCTTCAATGCTACATGGGAGTGGGGTTTGCTCTGTTTATATACACTAGCTTGCCCTGTTAGTGTTCTCCTTGGTAATTCCATGATTAGGCTACTGTTTACTGCTTGTTTGTCTGAGTTGGTAGTTCCTTGATTAGGGTATTGTTTACAATTGTTGTTTGTCTGGTGTTAATCCTAGGTTTTAACCCCTTCTTATCTGGGTCTTAATTGCTGCAACCAAGCTCAGAGAGCACCAATGACTACACAATCATATGACACAAGAGCTTTTCAAAAGAAAGAAAAGGTTGAAACCGCCTTACTTGCTGGAAAGTACCATATTTTTCAGAGTATAAGACGCTCCGAAGTATAAGACACAACTAATTTGGGGGAGGAAAACAAGAAAAAAAATCTGCCTCTGCCTTCCAGCAATTTACCTCCTTGCAGCAAATAGCAAACAGCCTGTTTCAGTTTCAGCACAGCCTGATTAGCACAAGAAAAAAAAAATCTGACTCTGCCTCCCAGCAATTTGCCTCCTTGCAGAGCAAACAGCCAGTTTGTTTCAGCTTCAGCACAGCCTGATTAGCACAAGCAGCTGATTGTCAGTTGGATCGGTCTCTGGTGATCAACTGTTTCAGGCTGCAGGGATTGCCATAGCCTATTGCCGCCTCCGCACACCCCATTTTCGCCCTCCGCATTCCGTTTTCAGCCTCCACACGCCTCATTTTTGGCCTCCGTGCGCCCCATTTTCCACCCATTCCAGGCAGTGGGGATCGGAATGGGTGGAAAATGGGGTGCACGGAGGCTGAAAAAAGGACACGCAGAGGCCCAAAATGGCATGCAGAGGGCGAAATGGGGGCACGGAGATGGCAATAGGCAATGGCAATCCCTGTAGCCTGAAACAGCTGATGGTCGGGAGGCCGATCCAACTGACAATCAGCTGCTTGTGCTAATCAGGCTGTGCTGAAGCTGAAACAGGCTGTTTGCTGTTTGCTGCAAGGAGGCAAATTGCTGGGAGGGAGAGGCCAAAGGGGGGGGGGCGGCGGGTGGGTGGGGCTACATTCAGTGTATAAGACGCACCCAAATTCTCACCCTCTTTTAGGGCAAAAAAGTGCATCCTATACTCCAAAAATACGGTAACTCTTGAGCAAGCGAAAATTAGCTCTTTGGATCCCAGCTAATATTTCTCATAAGGATCAAAGGTAATAGATAATTAGAGTCATACTTTTAGTTGCTCATCTTTTTTTGGCTAGTGTGTCAAATTCTAAAGAATTCAGTACATTTGCCACAAAGTTTGCTATTAAAATGTTATTAGTGGTGCATAAATGCTACAATTCATAGCACTGTACTTCCCCTTATCTCCAAATGTTGAATAAAATTTAAATATTTAAATTACTGGTTTCAAAATAGAGATTAATGATGGTTTAAGAATAGATCCTGTGTCTTGAATTAGGATGAATTAAGATATAAGATTTGTAACAAATATTATCATATTTAATTTTTACATAGAAATAAAAAGTTTATGTTAATACAGTATATTTCTAAAATGCAGTATTTGCTCTGTAGATCACTTACCTCTCCTAGAAAGAGAATAAACTGTGTTTGCCGATTGTCATATACACACTACTACAATGTAGTGGACAAAATTATCTGGGATTTTCCTCAGATCAATTTCACATGTGGCCATCTGATTTTTAACAAATGAATAAAGATGGCCAAATTGAATACATACAGTATGTCTCACAAAGTAAAGAAACAAAAGGTTTTCCTCTTCACTAGAATACTTTGCATTGTCTTATTGTACAAAGTACACTTCCTATGCTAGTTCTCCACCTTGGAATACTTACAGAAATCAAGACTGAATACATGATTTCCTGCTCTGTAATACACTTTTAACAGCCCACTTCTTATCTTGAAGAGTATGTAAACATAAGTGTAGTTCTAGGCATCTATGTAACATTACTTCAGAATTCCTCCATGTTTGTTGAAACATTTGGAGTTGCTGGATTTGAATCTTGAGAAATGGCTGCTACTGTGACAATCCTTGGAGATCCAAGAACCTCAGTAACTGAAGGGTCCAATTCACCTGAGGTAACAATAGCAAGGGCTGTTCCTCCACCCTTCTTGTTCTGATGTGTTTTGACATGCTTGGAGAGATGATCACTTCGCATAAATCTTTTAGAACACTCTGGACATTCAAATCTTTTCTCACCTGTCAAGAAATGTTAACATCATGGGCAATTATGTATGTATAATCTATAGTACAGTGCCATGACTTTAACAATTTTTCTTGTATTTCTATTTTGCCTTCCTAAATTATAGCAATTCTGAAGCTTTAATTAATTCCTTACTTTGAATCTTTAAGTAAACCTTCACTTTAAAAGCCCAATGGGGGGAAGAGGTATCTATTAAAACCAAGTGCTGGTTAAAGAGCTAACTGGATTTTCTGAGGGGAGGGAAGGAAAAGTGCTGGGAAAAAGAGAGGATGTGTGGGCTGCTGGAATATGGGGCCAAAGGGTTTGTAGGGAGGGTGGTTTCTCTTGCAAAGATGTTCAATTTAGATGATTGTGTTTTTGTCCATCAAATGCAAAGTCTGCCAGTTTTATTAAATTGAGAGTTTACTGTATTAAACATATATTCAAGTGTTTCTCAGTGAAATAATTGTTTATATTTAAAGTGTAGTTAAATACACTGAAAAATTTAAGTATACTGAAATACTTGTATACATTTAATACATTTAACAGAAGAGCTTGCTAGACTTGCTTAAGTCTTTTCTTGCTTTTCTTATGACCAATTAAGTAGCTTTATATTTATGTATTGTAAGGTATTTCTATGGTGTTTGTCATATACAACAATGAACACAAGCAAGCATACATTAAGGACATCCTATATGAACAGCAAAGCATATAAAATGTCTTCCATATGTACCTTAACTGAAATGAAAGCCACTGAATGTCTCTTTTTGGAGTGAAATGATTTTAAAATATAGGCACCACAACTAACAGAGCCAAAGGTTGTATTTTTTATTGTTGTTCAGATAACATCTTTAGGAGATATAGGATTTTTTTGGTACAATCCCGAAGGCCTCTAACAATAATTGCAATAGTGGAGCAGATGTATACAGGAGAAGACAATTCAAGGGGATCCTGGTTCATTTACAGTCTTCAAGGTTATTACTACACTTCTGAACCATTAATAATCAGTAGCCAGTGTAATTCTTTTCATAATATAATACTGTATGATAGCACAGGGCTCCCCAATCCCCGGTCCATAGACCACTACTGGTCTGCAGCCTGTTAGGAACTAGGCTGCACAAGCAAGCAAAGCTTCATCTGTGCATGTGCATGAAATCACACACACACACAACCCACCCCGGTCCATGGAAAAATGGTTTTCCCCCAAACTGGTCCCTGGTACAAAAAATGTTGGGGGACGCTGTGATAGCAGCTAGGTATGCTGTACAGTAACCCTCTTGTTCACTAGCAGTGCATAAGGGTAGCACTAAATTAGTAAATTATAATTACACAGACATGATATTATCAATGCAACCACAACTGCAATAACATTAAAAGTCATAAAATATACCATCAGAGCTACTTGGGGTTCCAGTAAAATGTTTATTCTATGAGCATCTCCAACTCTATTCCTGTTTCTCTAGAGAAAGATCAATATCCAGAATAGGGAATTATCTATATCCTAGATCAGGAATTGCCAGGCCACAGAAACTCTCTGTTACCAGTATCTCTGTTACCAGAGCTGTGGTGGTGCAATGGTTAGAATGCAGTATTGCGGGCTAATTCTGCTGACTGCCAGCAGTTCGGTGTTCGAGTCTCACCAGCTCAAGGTTGACTCAGCCTTCCATCCCTTCCAAGGTCCTGGATGAGGACCCGGATTGTTGGGGGCAATATGCTGACTCTGTAAACCACTTAGAGAGGGCTGTAAAGCACTGTGAAGCGGTATATAAGTCTAAGTGCTATTGCTATTTATGCTAACTAGATTTCATTGAGCTTGTCATTGTGTCCTGATTCAGCTGTATTTGAGAAACATGCTGATGACATTATTCTCCAAATTGCCTAAAAATAATCTGAGCAGCATCAGAAATGAAATGGCACCATGTGATTTTCTGTGTAATACAATAGCCAGGGGCCAAAAACATTTACTCTTGAGTGACCAACCATGCAAATAGGAGTGCAACCATCATATACTGTATTGGTTTTTTCCTCATTCACAAGGATGACCAGCCAACAGTGCTAAAAAGCAAGTATAATTATTGCTAAAAGCTACTAAGAAAGTGAGCAATAATAACACTTACTATCCCTTAGGAGACGATACCCATCATAGTGGTGGTACAGAGGTGGGTTCCTCCCGGTATGGTACGGCAGAAGAGGTAGTGAAAATCTGGCGTACTGGACCGGTAGTAATGGTGGCCTGGCCATGCCCCCAAACCTTCGTCAGAAGCTTCTTTGTTTTTAAAGCCATTTTTCCCTGCCCATTCAGGCAAGGAAAAAGAGGTTTTAAAAACTAAAAGAGACAGAGAGAGAGAGAGAGAGAGAGGGAGGGAGAGAGGAAGGAAGGAAGGGAAGCGAGAAAGAAAGAGAAAGAAAAAGAAAGAAGGAAACTCACTTTTTCCCAGGAGATTCAGCAAAGGAGAAAAACAAATGGCTGTCACTTTAAATCAGAACTGAGCACGCCTGGCTGTGGAATTCTGGGAGTTGAAGTCCACAAGTCTTAATGCTGCAAACTTTAAATTGAAACCTGCTTTAAATTGAAAAGCTACTCAAAAGGAAGTTTGCAAAGTGGCATTCAGCAGTTTGTTTCTGGGTCAACTGAACAACAAACTGGATAAAAGGTAGGATTCTTATATGGTTCTATGTTTTTGAAGTTTTGGGGTTTGTGCAATATGGGCTTTGTGTTTCTAAAAGGGTTTGGATCATTCCCTGCTTGTGAATGGAGCCAAACTTTCTATAGGCTCATTATCTCATTATCTCTATCTGGCAGGAATGTGGAATGAGCCTTTCTGGGAGTAATAATGTCAACTTGTAAAGTGTTGCCATGACTATTATCAGGTTGGCATTGGGGAGGATTCCATGCATATCTTCGGCCAGAGTCGGATCTCATATTTCTACAACCTAGTTGGTGGATATGATTTATGACACAGACAGAAGGGAGGGGATAGAGGGGTAAAGTTCAAACACAATTAAGTGGATATCAGTTTCGGCTCCGCAGAAGAACATGCCAGAATGTTGATCCTAATAAATGAATGGATTTCTTTTGAACTTTGTCTCAAGGCTCGTAAATTAATTAGGTTATCTTCTGGGAACTTCACAAATATTTTATTTGGTGTGGCGGGGGGGGGTTGGTTGCTTCCCACAGAGGGAAGGGAGAAAGAAAGAAAGAAAGAAAGAAAGAAAATTAAGGGCTAGAAGGCTACTCAGAGGTCATCTAGTCCATCCCCCTGCTGCAGCAGGAAACCTTACATTGTCTGGATTATTTTGGTGCCTATAACAGAGAGAAAAATTGCCAGAAAGGAGGAGGAGTTTACTAGGACAAGGCTGCCATGCAGAGGAAGGCAAAGATCATCCTTGACTTATGACTACAATTGAGCCCAAAATTTTGGTTGCTAAGCAAGAGCGTTGTTAAGTGACTGTTGTGACTCAGCAGAAGTCTTCTGTGAGTCTTTTCGGGATGCAAGATTAATTATGCAGCTGGGGTTCGTTAGGGGCATATTCTGGGGATAAAAGGACGGATGGTGCCACGCCCTAGTTGCAGGAGTCAACGTTACTTGGTTCATTCAACATTGATTGATCATCAGTCGTGGTTTATGTAAGATACACTTGGAGAAGTGCTTTGTTTTCTGTAACCCTGATTCGAAGAGACTTTTGAAGAAGTGCTTTGCTTTCTTTTTGTACATCTTGTGTTGCCGTAAGAGAGATTTGTTTTGCATTCCGTTATTTTCAGGCAGAGAGTTTATTTAGATTAATTTTGGGCTCGCAGCCAGTTTGAGCTGAGAACTGATAAAGAGAGTTCCTTTTAAGTTGTTTGCCTGTCGTCTGTTTAACGAGCGGAGAAGGGGGGACAGAACAAGTGACCTTCACCAAATTTTACCCAATCCATGATATCTCCTGGTGAATGACAACAAGTGGGCCACGCCCACCCAGTCACATGACCACCAAGCCATGCCCACAAAATAGGCCACACCCACAGAATAGGTAGTAAAAAAATTTGAAACCTACCCCTGGGTGGTACAGTGATTAGAATGCAGTATTGCAGCTTAATTCTGCTGACCGCTGATTGCCAGCAATTTGGCAGTTCGATTCTCACTCAGCCTTCCATCCTTCCGAGGTTGGTAAAATGAGGACCCAGATTGTTGGGGGCAACATACTGACTCTGTAAACCGCTTAGAGAGGGCTGTAAAAGCACTGTGAAGCGGTATATAAGTCTAAGTGCAATTGCTATAGTGAGAAAGTCCCAATATAAGATCTTGACTCTAACTGAAGTGGATTCTAAAATACTGGTTTTCTCCAAGAGTATTTCAGTTGGTCCACCACTACTTTTTTGAGTATCTTCTCAAGCATATAAATGCAACAACTAAACAATCATGATTCAATATGACCTTTTAATGGTTAAGATGTGCATTCATTCAGTTAGCTTCCGATTTATATCTTGTGGATCTAGTCAAAGAGTACTCTTCATACAATGTTTCCCTGTATCTTAAGAAATGAATCTGAAATTATGTCTTAAAACAGGGGTCCTCAACCCCTGGGCCATGGCCTATTTGGAATTGGGTCATGCAAGTGGCTGGCCAGAGTGCGTGTGCACATCCATCCACAGCTCAACTTGCGCAAGTGGTGGGCTAGTGGGCACTTGTGTGCACTGGCCTGCTGCTTGTGCAAATCGAGCTGCATGCATGCGCGCCAGCCCGCTGCTCGCACGGCCTTTTCCCCCCAGCCAGGCCACCAAGCCACAAATGTTGGGGGCTGCTGTCTTAAAAATCAACATGGAAAGGAACACTAATGCCTAAAAAGATAAAATCCTTTAAATTGTTCACTTACTATTCAGACTAAGTTATGCTGTACAATTATCAGCTAATTCTAAATTTTTAAAGTACAAACTGAAAACAGATTCACCAAGTAGCATACAGGGGACTGATCCCCCAAAATACTCACTTTATCTCAGGGATAGAGAACTGAGAAATTATGATTATTCAGAAAATGCAAAAATAAACACAGACTGGTTGATGCTGGACTAATTTTCCACATTCTGAATTGCCCATCTCCCTCAACGATGTGTATTCCAATTATTTTTAAACAGGAATAGAGCTTTCATTTACAATAATCTAGAAAACCAAGCTCAATAAGGTCTCTGAAGGATTAATCCCTAAATTCCTACTGAAGGGAACATTTTTAAATTTTATATACTTTTAAAAGTCAGAACACTAAAATGTAAATGAACTTTATTTTTTACATGCTTATACAAACTGTTCTCTTACCTGTATGGGTTCGCCTATGTCTCTGCAATTCATCACTCCTGGTAAATCTTTTCCCACAGAAGATCCAATTGCATACAAATGGCCTTTCTCCTGTATGCCAGCGAAGATGTGCCCGGAGATGAGATGTTTTCCCATATACTTTACCACAGCCTTCAATATGGCAGATATGTTGCTTCTTTTTTCCTGGTTCATTGCTGCCTCTATCAAATACAAACTACTATTAGTTAAAATCAGAACAATTTCAAATAAGGACTATGTTAATAAAATATCATTAAAGATATAACAAATATGTAAGCAAAATAAATACTTTGGCCCTAAGAAACCTGATATTTAATAGTAATTATGGCAATTACCTTCCATCTCCTTCTCTACAATTAGGGCAAGTACAAGCAACTCTTCTTAATCTTTTGCCA